AAGCAATTCTTTATGCTCAGAACTTACGAGAATATTTCATTAATTATTTTTGTGATTTCATTGATTTGTCGCTCTCACGGCGCAGCAATATAGAGAGTCAGATTATGATGGGGCTAGTCTTAAAGGCCTGAGATAAAAAAAATACTTAAAAAAAACTTTAGTAATGATGAGGCATAAAATAAATCGTTTACAGTCAAACAAACAGTCTAGGCTGTTACAAGCACTTGTGAATGTCGAAAAGCTACGCCATCGGTTCGCAAATCTACGGGCGGGAGACCTTGTACTGAGAAGAACGGACAAGAAACTCAGCAAGGGCTGTTTTTTCCTCCCTGTATTATATACAGAGTCGTCAAATTGAAAAATGACTTCAATATGAGATAACTAATGAAGTCACTTTCCATTACAAATGTAAATGATATAAAAATAACATAATCACGAGTGCTGGTGTCAGTTGCCGAGTTACTAGGTATTGTGGTGTGTCTGTAGTCTGTACACACCATTGTTCGCCGTATCTGTTGTACAATACGTTGTCTATCGGCTACCAAGCATTGTTCCAATGATAACTTCTGTCGCATAACCTCACGTGCTCGTTGTAGGTGCGAAAACAAACGTGGCTCGCTTGCTATTTAGTAATTACCTTACCACATTTGTATTGTATTTGTTTCTTAGGTTTTCACGCACATCACTCATTAAATAAAACTAGTTTTTACGGGTTAATGCACGAAACTTTATTTATTTATTGACGTTTCGTCAGTCAAAAGTCTTTCGAAGGTAGCTCGACAAATTAAATAAAAGTTTTATTCTGACGACGAAGCCTGTAAAGGCTACGAAACGTCAATAAATAAATAAAGTTTCGTGCATTAACCCGTAAAAATTAGTTTTATACATTTGTATTGCTTACTAGCGGGCGCCAACTAACTACTTCGTATATGAGGAGTTGGCGAAGAAAACGGTATAATTACATATAATAAAATTTTACATGAGCTGTATAAAACTGTATGACATACCGACAGTGAGCTTTTGGCGTACCGCCATAAAAATAGGGGCTGGTGGTAGAAGGGTGAAAATTTAGGATTGCATGTATTTTTAATGCCACGTTATAAAAAAAATGTTATGTGTGGACAACCCTTATCACTAATGGATATGAAAAATAGATAGTAGCCGATTCTCAGACCTACTAAATATGTATATAAAACTTCATAAAAATCGGTCAGGCCGTTTCGGAGCAGTATGGTAACTAACATTGTGACACGAGAATTTTATATATAAGAAAAATTAATAAAAAAACAATTGAGAATGGACTGAATGATCGTTAGGGCATATACCATGACATGCTCTGGACTGAGCATTCCTGGTCTAACTGTAAAGTATAACTGGGTAAATAGAAAGATAGGGGAGTAAGAAACGAAGCGATCGGTCGGCTAAAAGTTCGTACAAATACGTTGGTTAAGACCCACGACAACGGCAACTAGAGCCGAGGTCCGAGCCTCAGAGACACCCTCTAGTTGAGCCGACCCCCTCAGGTTCGAGTGGTCTAGAGGCTCCAGACGGAGAGGAGAGCCCTTATGAGGAGATGTCATCCACCTGGAATACCTCTAAAGGCACTCGCCAATTCTCGGCTTGAGGTCCCCTTTGGATCTCGCCGTCCCCAAACCCGGTGACGCTGTAAAGGTCATCTACGACCAACAGCATATACACTCAAAACAAAAGTTCGTTAAGGGAGGTAGGACATAGCAGATTTTCAGCTCGGATTGGAGCGCCCATCTGGGGAAGCAAACTCCACCTTACAGACGACAAAGTATAATAACACTACCTTTCGTGGTGTTGTTTTTGCTGGTGAGTAGGGATTCCAGGCCAATGGCCTGACGCGAAAGAATCCCTAAACGGGGATCCCGCGGCTTCGCGCTAAGCAGCTTAGAGGGTATTCGCAGGGTGTTTTAGCGGATATTATGCCGTAAAGCGCCCGTAAGGGTTACGGGAGCCAGGTGTGAGGTCCGTTCGGCGGTGTGCCTCTTAAAGGCGCCGTCGTCTGTAAATAGTATTTTTTGCCTGCGTATAAAAAAAGGGGGGGGGGGGGGGGGCAATGGCCTAACGGTATTGCTATAGCTACCGCTCACGCTTACGATTTCATATCTGGCCTAAGAGTTTTCAAATACCTCACGCTGATTTTTTTTAAACATTGTTATTATGCAATATTATGCAAATGCTCAATGCAAAAGAAAAAAAAGAGCGAGAGGCGATTGGTCCCCTGGGCTCCGCGGGGTAGGGGATCGGTTCAGGCCGGCAGGGGTGAGGATGGCTAGAGCGGCACACCTTCTGCCGCATCATCTTTCTTTGCTATCTGGACTCCTGAAACTTAACATCGGTGGAGAGATGTAATTTACCGCGCCTCGTATAAAAAAAAGATATGGCTGTACCATCGCGTTTTCCTCTTTCTAGTGAGTTGTCAATTTCATACGAATGTAGGTTAGACGGTCATGATCAGACCTCTGTTCGTTCTCTGTGTTTAAGCTATCACAATATTTAAGGTCTGCATCTTATAACTCGTTACCTCGCTAACCAGTAAACACCCATGATACCCATTGGTTTTACTGTGAAATAAAATAATTAAGACCTTACCATAAGATATATTAATGATGCTATGGAAGAGTGGTTCCTTCTGGTACAGGTGTTAAACGCTTAATAGAAGGAACCCACCTTGGTTTGGTATACAACAAATGTACACCAAACCAACGTCGTATCATAAAAAAATTTCTTGATTTTGGTTTTAATCAGTTCAAGTGATTATCCCAGCATCTGTTGGTTGGCGCCAGCTTTGCCTAACTGCGCGTACATATAGCGATCCGAATCATAAGCCCGTCATTTGATAGCGGATGTAGTTGTATGGCCGAGATCACACACATACAATATTCCGGATCAAGTAAAAAATCCCACATGGAAACGGAAACACTGATCCAGTAGAGTTTTTTCCATTAAAGTCGGTTCAATATTTATCCTGAATCAACAAAATTAAAGTTTAAATTGCAGAAAAGGTATTTAATGCGAAACATGAGCCTGATTAATAGAGCATAGCCAGTGTAAATTTAAAATGATTATCCTGAGGCGTTCTCTTATTTTGATTTTTATTATTTTTCGAGGCACATCAATTAACAACCACGGTACACCAGTGTGCCGAGGTACACACTTTGCGGAACGCTGCTGTAAATTCTGTGTGAATAGTATCTCCAGAAGCGACGGATCTGTTCAAAGGGATTCCGAAAACAGAAGTTCTATATGTGCACACCTTAATTCAGGGAGACTGTCTTTCAACACGCTTTGGTCGAGAACACGAATTATAAATATAAAAAATCTAAACAATGCTACTAAGCAATTTACAGATTTTCGAAGACCATACGAGGCTAACATTTTCCTAGGTTTTGCAGTTCGTAATATCAATCAAAATAATATAATTATGTGATGTTCATACAATATTACTGTCAATTAACTTGAATAAAATAAATAAATGCTTCGCAAGAGTGACATAAAAAATATTTTTTGTTGTAAATTGTTGGTTTTTTGGCACCCCTTGCTATATGGCGCTTAATTTCTCTTGTTCTATCCCAGGGTTGGCAGCAGATAAGCTATAAGATTAATGTCCTAATGACGAGGAAGCCATATAGGGTTAAAGCCATAATAACCCACTACACAGAATCTAAAAATTAAAACAATAACTATTCTGTTCATTGCCTCTTTGGGCTCTGATTTGAACGGTTTTACGTGATTTCGGCAATAAAGAGCTGGAGATAATTAACCCAGATAAACCTACTGTAGTATATCTAGGACGGTTAAATTTAAAACATTAAAATATAACTAAATACCCGCAAACTTTGGCATAGGAAATATTATAAATTGTAATCTATACTAATATTATAAAAAGGAAAGATTTGATTGTTTCTTTGTATTGAATAGGCTGTGCTACTGGAACGATTTAAAAAAATGTTTCGCATTTAGAATCCTACATTATAAGTTGATATTTTATTTTCATATTATCAAATGTATAATTTATTCAAAGGCCTTACTGCTTTAGTCACTAATAATATCAAATTGGATATTAATAAAAAGAATATTACATATTACTCAAAAGGTTAAAAAAAATTCTGTCTCTAGACTAGCTCCTATTATTTTTAATGAGCTCCCTGTGCACTGTTCAAGCGAGAATTTGCCTTATCACTGATATTCAATACCACACATAATAAAAAAGCTACATAAAAGCTTTCAGATATTTTCTTAATGTTTTTTTTTATTTTTTTCAATATCTTTGAGAAATTTAAAAATGATTCATTAAGGAATCTTAATTTACAGAAATTGCATTCAATTGATAATGTGATGTCTTTTGTAAGGAGCTAGCTATTTATTACTTCATAGATGTTAAAACTAGAAAGTTATTTATTGTATTAAAAGAAATTTTGAAAAGGATGTTTTAAATTTCATATAAAAAGTTTATCTTTATATTTTAAATAAATCCATTTAAAAATTTCTGAAATATATGTTACCAACTTATTAATGATGATTCATGAATAACAGCTGGTATTGATCTGTTATAATAGAAGCGAGGAAATCTTCAAAATATGTGGTGCATATAATATTTTTATGAAGGTTCCATAACGAAAGACAACACAGTACTATTTCTCTGGCTATCTTTCTCCCAGCAAACAGTATCTCATGGCTCATTACTATAGATTGTTGATATTTCAAATGATGTAGTTACAGTGCCATTATTATGAGTCTGAAGGATTTACAGGCTCCATATAGGAAATATGAGTTTTTGACATATTTGCTCTTAGGTTATATTTTGTATGATAAGTATATCACTTTATTTATAATCTTGCTAATTTTTGCTACATCAAATAAGAATTGGTGGTAATAAATTAAATCTTTTGTGATATTAAGAAAACATTTCTATAGGAACAAAAGATTTAAAATCTAAGGTTTCATTTTAAGCAGCAATAAAACACACTTACCTTATTGTGTGGTAGTACTATAAAGGCTCCTCCTCCAGCAGACTCGACGATAATAGCCAGAAACTTCGGGTTCACAGCACAAAATGTAGAATCCCATGAACTTTTTGATACTCTGATATTATCATAACACTGTTCCCTTTTAAGAGCCTGTCCGTAAACGTGGCGGAACTTTGAACTACGCACAACTCTAAACGACATCTGTAACGCGAAAAGGCACACCTTTAATCACAAAACAATACACAATACCATTATTTTACCAAAATAATTACTTATAACATAACCTATACACTAGTTGACCTATATTTTGACACTAATTCAAGATTTATCACAACTCACTTTTTATTATAGGAAGAATTTATAATTATTATACTAGAAAATGCAATGAAAACATTTGAAATGAACTCGATAAATAATAGAAAATAAAACCGAGAGCTACTAAGGATCGAAGGGAGGACGGTTGGGAAAACGAGCGAACTCCATATTTGGTAATGCCTGCAGCTACTACATTTGCTGAATTTATTTCCGACGTTTTCTGTATAATATCGAAGACAAATTGATTAAATATGTAAAAAAGGAAGCCTAATGTATCCCTTAGAATATTAAATTGTAAATAAAAGCATTTATTTCGCTAAATAAAAAATATTTTATCAGAGAAATTAAATCGTTCTGAACGCAACTTGTGAAACGTCAATTTGACACTTTTAATCGCAAATTCCTGACACGTTCCAATTTCTTATATTTTTTTTTAAATAATGAAAAATAGGGAAAACTTAATACAATGAGTTCAATTTATTCTTTTTTTTCTAATTACACAAATTGCAATCAATTTCGATATGATTCTGTCAGTTAGTTTAATATCTTGTTTAATATTATGTAGCATGCAGTATTCGTAAGCTCACTGACGAATGCAGCTAATACAAAATCAAGCTCCGTGTCAAAAAAGGAAACTAACTTCGATCACCCGTTATTATTCCCGATAATCGTTTAACTATGTAGAAGATTATGTAGGTATTATTTACAAAACCAAGATCTTACCCTTGGGACAACCATACGAGAATTTTTTTCAGGTGTATGGTTATAACTGTGGCATCTTTCTCTTCCAACTCGTTTTGCAACAGGAGGCCGCTTAATGTTGGGGCTCGTAAAACTGCTGTGTCGTTTGATTTCCTTAATCAAATTATTTAGTCAAATGTCTACCTCCACTGCTCTACAAAATATCACATACTTAGGAAACATTAAGCTATAACAAAATACTTACAGCTGCACCATCTACTTCCATATTGAAAACTTTATTCATCGCGTTCTTAGAATAACGTTCTACAAGAACAAGCAATTCTAATTTCGATTCACAAATAATCACTCAATAAATAATAAAAGCAAACAAAGTTTTATACAATAATTTAATGCAATTCACAGATAATCTCTTAAAATTCATATGATGGTGAGGGTAGTAGAGATTTTTTTTTTATCTATGCGGTGTCGGAGAAAGAATACTGCTTACCCCTTTTCTAAGGGATATCGGAGCTTCCATCCGCTCTTCTAATGGCAGGGTGCCTAACACCCTCCTGGTGTGTTAGCACCCTGCGCATGGTGAAAAACCCGTGAAGTGCTTCTCACGTGTTTCGGGGTCAGCCAGCTTACAACCAGAACTCGAGTAGGGGTTACCGTGACAGATTCGGTCCAGGGGATCCGTCGAACTGATGCCGGGAGGGCTTCATCGACCCTCCGGACAGGGAGACCTGTGGAAACGGCTGTCCCACTGGCCACCCGTGGCACAGCACAGGGGCCCAAGCGTTTCTAACCAGTTCGCGGGGCACCCCTTTTATGTCACGCACAATCTCGGGGTCGACCATCGTGCCGGTTAGTGACCGGGGCGTGGGGTCCGGGTGGTCACTCCCGGCGGCTGCGGGGGCCCGCCCTTCCGTCCGGCGGGTCGGCGCCTCTTCTGTGCAGGAAGTCATTCGGGGAAATATATCTCCCTTATTTGCCCGGTCCTGTCGCGACAACATCCGCTAGTTTTACGTCTCTTTTTCACCTCCATCATGGCAGCCCCTAAAACAAAGTTTGGATGTACAGCGGTGCACACCCCCACGCCTTCAACGCTGTTTGAGGTCGAATTCTGCAACATACGCGGACTCCACTCTAACCTCAACGCTGTCCACCACCTTATTGAGATAGTACGGCCAGCATTGTTGTTCCTGACGGAGACACAAATACTTCCGCCTGCTGACACAGGCTACCTTAACTATCCGGGCTACGTGCTTTCGGCTAGCCGGTGTATTTGCTAACTTTATTGACATTTATAGTAAAGATAAAATTGCAAATCCATCGATGCTTTTCAGACCACGTCATATCGTAATGGCGTTATAATAAAGCAGTAGTGGTTTACTAAATAGCTCAGTGATGATCATTTCCATCTGGCAAAAGCAGTTAGTGAATAGGCCTACAGGTCGATACTACAGTCCGAGGCACGCAGCGCATCATGTCGCAAGAAGAAAAAGTCTTCGCTGATACCGCTTTTATGTTATTTAGTGGATATTGATGTCGATTCTGGCATGATTCTCTAAAGCTAAACTTAAATTTGACAACATTGGTGTCTATTCTGGCATGAATCTCTAAACCTAAACTTAAATTTGGCAACAGTGTATCCTTGTCATTCTCTATGTTAAATGAATAGGACAGACCGATGTTAAATTTAGTTGTAAGTTTAGAGAATCACGCTAGAATCGACACCACTATCATGCCAGAATCGGCACCATTGTATTACTGGGGAAAGCGTTTTCTATGAGTTCTTTTTTTATTATGCAAGTTTTGGAAAAAGCTCAGCAGAAGCCATAAAATTATAATAGCCTCATATAAGCCTGACAGATGGAAGTGATGATCACTGAGCTATGATGTTTTGAAGTTATAGATACGACATCCACGTTTATAATTTGGCAATACGAAAGTCAAGTCTGACTTGCATTCAGTCGGGCACGCTCTCTCGCTGTGGCTACACTTTGCTACAGCATGTAAATATTTTACGTTATTCCAGACAGCCCAGCCTTATGTGTGTTTTTAGATAGTACAGAAAATGCACAGCACTATTAGAGATAAGAAAAACGTGTCATGACATACGTAAGTACAGTTTTAAAGAAATTTATGTAAAAATATTTAGGCCCGTATTACAGAATGACAACTAAGTGTTGATCTTTAATTGAGTCCAGTTGGAAAGGGATATCGCTATGTGCTATATATAAATAGCGACATCCCTTTCTAACTATGCTCAAGACTAGATTAATCACTGAGAATCTTTCTATAAATACGGGCCTTAGTGTTTACTTATTTTGACAGTTGCTGACACCGTTGACACATATATAGGCTAAAGAGCGAGATGTAATCTGCATTATGAATGACAGTGAAAGAGACTACTTTAGTGCACTTCTTTTGAAGGCTGTTGCCAAGTCAAACGTCTAATTCCTGCAGTACCCCAGTACCACGGCATGACGACATGTCGCTGGTTTGCGAGAATATCGACGTAATTCAAAATACTGTCAAATTGAATTATGTATGCCAAACAATCATAAATCTTTGATATTTTATCGTGAACAGAGAAGCAACGCCAATTTCGCGCCAGCGTTCGTTAGAAAGAGAAGGCGTCATTATTCATTTGAGACAAAACACTCAAAGCGTGATCACAAATAAAGGCTCATCTCAGTTGAGCCTATGACAACAGAGTGAACGCACGGTCGATTCTCGAAAATACCGACGTATTTACAGTTCGGTTGCAACAATTGTTATTTTTTTTTCAAGAATAGTGACATATTTAGTTATCCGTCGTTGTTTCTGATAAAAGTAAGTATATTTTCATATCTTATTTCTATTTACGCCTGTATTCTTGAATAAATATGTGTGATTGTTTATGATATTGTATTTTATACCGACTTTATGTAACTTGCGTCTAGATTCACGAAAAATAAACAGATTTTATTTTGTCGTATATAAGAAACGGCGTTATTTTTGAAAAAAATGGGCACGGTTTTGCTTCTTATTACGAAATGCGTCTATGTTCAAGGAATTTTGGGATAGAAATATTGAGTTAATTTTTTTCATGGTATTCATTGATAATTAATTATTTTCGTTAAATTATTTGTTTCAGATAATTATCTTTATTAGAGTTATTCAAGATGGCAGAAAGAATGTTATTCTTGGGAAAGTTGAAAGAAGCGGCCAGTAAAAATAAAGAAAATGAGGATCAACAAGATTTAACTAATAGTGAACAAGAAAGTCAGTCTACAATTTTCATATATTTGCAGTTTGTCTCAATTTTATTAATTCTTTCAACTATTTAACTATTCAAAATATTTTAGGTACCGATAAACATAAAAGCAGTTTGCCGTTAAATGAAAGAAGTTGCGATGAAAATGTCGAAAATGATATAAATTATAATAACACATCAGGTAAGCAAAATAAAATATTTAAATTCAAAGTCGTAAGATTTTTTTCGATATTATTTTTATTTCGATGTGTAGTTTGTCCTGTTGCAAATAGTTTACACTTACGCTAGTGGCTGATCGTAACCTCCTGGGTTCGATTCCCGGGAATTACAAGATGCGAGTGTTTCTATTACATAATGATGTTCCTCTGGAAAAACTTGTGAAATGCATGCAATAACGATAACTGTTGGTTTTGGTATTTATTCTGTAAATAAATAAATGTTTATTGAATTTCAGGTAATAATTCAGAAGAAAATAAATTGATTTTGCGACAAAGATCACCATCCACATCGTCATCCTCATCTTCTAGCTCATCTTCCTCGACTTCCAGCTCATCTTCCTCGTCTTCTAGCTCGTCTTCTTCCAGCAATAGAGCAATAAAAGAATCTAATAAAGAATCCAATAACATGATAAGTTTAAATGAAAAAGAACTCCACGGCCATAGCCTAGAAAATAAAACCAAAGGAAATATGGTAAGTATAGAATCAGTAAATAATAATATGAAAGATGAGACTGCAGTAGAAAGTAATTTACAAATAGAAAGTGAACCAAAAGGTATTGAATTGACCAATATGAATGCTGAAAGTGAAGAAGGAAAGGAAGAAAGAGATTTTTCATCTGATGATAGTATCGCAGATCCTAATTATCACATTGAAAATAATGATTTATCGTCAGATTCGGATGAAACAGTAGAACAGAATGAAAAAGAAAATATTTCACGTGAATCAAACCAAAATATTACACGTAAGAGGAAAATGAAGCCAGAACTTTGGAAAACGAATGTAGCAAAACGCCTACGAAATGCAGGGAAAGAATATGTAGGTAAAAATAATAAAGTTATACGAGAGAGACGAATAGGACCAGGATGTACAGAAAAATGTAAGTTAAAGTGTAACACAAAGTTTAATGATGAGACTCGACGCCATATTTTTGACGCATATTATAAATTACCTGATTTGCAAAGTAAAAGAACTTTTGTAGCATTCAATATGTCCTCTATTGTCCCGACGTATCAATATAAAAAAGGAACACGTCGAAATAATAACGCATTTTATTTGAAAGATAAAGATGGCGAAAAAATTCGAGTTTGTAAGAGTTTTTTTATGTCTACGCTGGATGTATCTGATAGATTTATTCGAACAGTTACCGAAAAATCAAGAAGTGACGTTTCAGGCATTATTGTAGAGGATCTGCGAGGAAAACATAGCAATCACAG